GTTGATCGTAGTTCACTCGTTATGCTGACTAATTAGCACGCGCACGTTGACTAATTAACAATCGGACGATGACTTGTCTTTCTTCCTTCGTACCTTGTGGATGTGTAAAATTTGACATCCTATCTATTTCCGTTATAACTTGCGATAAATTATTTTTTCATCCTCTAATGTAAAAATATGTTAAATTCAAAAATTTACGTCCTGTAAACCCTCGGGCTCACATTATGTTGCCCGTGTATCACACAATCTCTATTTAATAATTATGAATATTTCCTGTTTAACTTAAAAAACAAAACAAAAAATCTCATGAAAATAGACTTGAAGGTCTTGGAATCATTCCAAAACAACTTCAGGTTTTACTGCAGCAGAAATGCATAGATTTTAAAAGTATATATTATTTAGATTTTATTGAACACATGCAATCATTATTGCTTTAACCTATTATTATATATAATAATATGTATATTTTTTCTTAGTAATTAATAAAAAAATCGTTGCCATCATATAAATTACATTTAGAATTAAGAAAATATTTATTATCTTTAACAAATTAATCTTTAAAATTATGTACCTTTATAAGACGAGAGTAATAAAATATTTTTTACAAATACATTAATACAGGTTTATCAGTCAAAGCTTTTTTTCAATAATTTCGTTACAAATATAACGCTGCAATCATATGATATATACTCTAAACTATGAGATTACATTGCCATACTGTATTTCTATCGAAAAATCCCAAATTAAATTATTTTTTATAAAAAGTTATGTTTGAATTTATTTAATTTAATCTAGTAAAGCCATAAATATAAAAGTGTATTTTATGTTTTTTAGCATAATTTATATGTTTATAATACAACTTTTTTAATAGATATAATTACTACTTATGCAGAAACATAAATCTAAACATGTTGAAATACAATTTTAATTATTATTTTATTATTATAGTCGAAATTATTTTAATTTAGTATTCTTAATTGTTTTTTTTATAGTAATATAGATATACCTAAAATATTGATATTTAAGGTATGTTTAGGTTGTAAAATTGTTAATTCCCAAATGTCATCATTATTTTTAATTAATAATAGTAAATTTATTATACTATATATTTTCAAACAATTATTTGTGGTTTATTCTTCCAAATTCTGAAACTGTAACATAAAAAAACTGCAAAGACTTAAAATACTTATCTACAGTAGAGCGTCGTTTATCCGAAACGTCGGTTATCCGAAAGCATTCCAGTCGGCAAATTTAAATTTTTGCTAGTGCTGTGACGCTACAATCTTTGGCTATATCTTGGGCTACTCCAATATTTTTTTGTGGATGTGTGTATTTTAGCTGTGTGTGTGTTTTAACTGGCAGCACTGGCACTTCTGTGTGGTGTTTTTCTGAGATCTGTGTGTCGTGCTGAATCGAACGTTTTTGATACTAGATCAACTTTTAAAGTATTTTTTTGGTTTCTTTATTTTTCAATATATTTATTTTATTTGTAAAAAATAAAAAAATAATTTTTAACGATACGATACCACGATCATTCTTTTAAAAAGTTTTCGTTAGGCTTAACATCGACGAAAATTCAACGCAAAGCGACACGCAACAGAGAAAAATTTCAACATGGGCTAGGTTAATATACTTTTTCGTATATAATCAGTTAACCAAAAATGAAGTTATCCGAACAACCCCAGTCCCCAATTGATTCGGATAAACGATGCCCTACTGTATAAACAAAACTTAGAAAAATAAGCTTTTATATTTATTTTATATATATATTAGAAGCACCTACTCTTTATCAAAGCATATATGAGTGTTTTGGCTGCAATTTGAAAAACAACAAAAAAATGTAGACAAATCCCACGGCCAACTCAATATTGAGAATAGAGATAAATAAATGAGAACGGAAAAAAATCCAGAAACAATATTGAAAAAAGACTTCGACGAATTATATGGGAAATTCTGATGAAAACAGGAACTTACGTTATATCAATTCAATATTTTCCCCCGAAAGGTTTTAGATAGGTGACTGGAAAGATTCTCTTGGTAAAACGAAAACTACAAGGACAAGCCATTACTAATTTAACACGAAGACTATACATTTTAAATTAATTTAATGAAAAATATCATTCAAAATTGCATCCTGGCGTTTTGACGATGTCACAATTCATAATTGCTCATTAAATTATGAAAATTTAATGTTTTTATGTAATAATTAATAAACAAGGAATAATGAAGGGAAAAATTATATGTTTTTCTTTTTACTTCATTTCTCATTATTCACATTAATATATTTCAGACTTTATGCAAAATAAAACATTAAATTATTTTTGATGAAGTTTAAATTATTATAGTAAACGATATCTACAAATAAATAATTTTAAGTGATATAAATTTTAATATTATCCAAACTTGTAAACAATTACACCCTAGGTAAAAATTCCCAAATTATTACTTACACACTTGGGTGTTTAATTACACTTTGTAAAAAATTACACTCTAATAATGAGAAGTAGGGTAAAAAATTTCACCCTAGTTCTTATCGTTTTAAATTACTTAGAGTTGTTACTTTATTTGTAATTAATTTTCCTCTTTTGTTATTAAAATTTTGTTGTTTACTTGTTCAGTTAGTTGTGGCCAACCGAGTGCATAACGGTTACCTTATCACTTATCCGCATCTTCTCCACTCGTCATTTAATTAGTTCTTCTTTTAATGATAAAAAAAATTTATAGATCGTGAGTTAAACCGCGATTAGGACCTGATCGAAATCACACGATCTTGATTTCCACTTCCAATGCAAAAGGCCATCCTTACACGCAGTGAGCGTATCTAACGATTCGACAGGATCACACGTTGCTAACTTTTCGCTAACGACCCCCATGTAGTCTCACAGTGATAAAAAAATTCTCATCGAGTTTTATTACAGGGCGATAAAATCAACTGTAATAAAGATGTGTTTGTTACAGGTGGTCATCGCGTCAATACGTAAATTAACCTATAAAATCACAGCGTTATTATCGGAGAAAAGAGGAAAAATATACAAAATATAAAAGCAGCGACGAAATAAATTAATGAGTCATTAAAAATCGAAAATATTGTTTAAAATCATAGCTAATGTTCCTCGGTATTTAATAAAAAAGGTATACACTCTTGATTTGATAAAAACTATCGAAAAGTTATTGGGTTAAGTGAATTTATTAGATTCATTTCTTACTCATATCGAATTGTCTCGTATCATACTTATCCACGTTGTCGTCGTTTTACCAAATTCGTTTGCATTTTGAGTGCTAAATAACTGTACGCAGGTTGAACAGGGGTAATTGCCATTACCTGGTTTATATATACGTTAAGGCTGAAGCCCTCAAATCTGCTTGTAAACTGGATAATGTGCAACATTGGTAGATTGTCATTCGCTTTACCCAAAGTTAGAATTAGCCAGTTAATCCCAGTCTATGCCAGTGTTAAATATTTTCATCGGCAAATAAACCAAATCAAAATCAGTGCTGTATAAATATAATAATTAAGAAATTTATAGAACGGAAATAAACACTTGGAATATAAATGAGCGTTTCACGTGATTCGCTGTATGACAAATAGCACGTGTGACGTAAGCAAGTTTCTTTCCCATCCAAATGTCACGTGACTGATGACATTTGTGAATAAATCATAGAGTTTCGGATCNATCACATGAAAAAAATCAGATTTTTAAATAATATAAAAACAAATTAAACAAATTTTAATTCTGACAATTGTATGCCTGTAAATAATAATCTTTATATATTGTACTTACGTATTTGTGTGTACGTATGTATGTTTTTTACTGAAAGTGTAATCCTCCGATATTACTAGTTATATTTTCATTCTTCTTATAAAAATACACAACTATCTGTAATCTTGTCACTAATGTAAAAACGTTTTTGATATTTTAATTATTATATATTAATAAATACAAATATTGTAAACTGAATATTACTTTTCATCCTTAAAAATTGCTAACTAAAATAATATTTTCAATCGATTTAAAAAAATTTTTATTGTTTGTTCATTTCAGATAAACAATGAAAAATAAAAACTAAACTAGCACAACTGATCAGATTTCCCTTAAATTTTTTTCAGATTAAATATCGTTCTCCTATAGCACATTCAAATTGCAAAATGAAATTGGACTGCTTAAGAAGAATTTTCTGCCGTATTTTTAAAAAAATAGGAAAAACCGTTGGACGGCATCCATATTACTTTATAATTTTACCGATAATTCTGTCAATTACACTCTCCATATTTATCAGAACATTAACTCCCAGTAAGACATTTAACGATATAATAACTTCCGATACAGGAAAACTTTTTACAGTGAAAACATTCATAGAAAATACATTCTCATATGACACATCTCAATTTTCTGATAAGCTAAGAGCTCCTGATGTACCAAATTCTCTGATAATTTATCTGTTGGAAAAAGACGAAGGAAACATGTTTGAAAAAAATATACTTTCAGAAGTGAAATTGTTCGACGAAATCATACACAATATAAAATTAGAAACTGACGGAAAGACAATACAATATACAGATCTCTGCACACGTATACACAAAAAATGCTTTGAAAATCCTATTATCGAAGTAATATCAGAAGTGGGAATTGATTCCATACTAAAAAAGAGAAAGAAGCTAAAGTATCCTGTTGATATAGATTTGTTGTCTTTCACTTATAAAGCCTATTTTATGAATTTAGGGGGTGTTGCAGAAGATTATCACAACTTCGTAGAAAAAGTAAATGCCGTTATGTTAGTATATGCAACTGACGATAAAAATGAAGTAAAAAAACAAATTATTTACAGAATGGTCAGCTCATGTTTATGACACAATTCAAAAATATAATTTCACGTATATCAAAGCTGTTCCATATTCTGTTCCAATGATAGAGCAAGAGTTTCGAAAAGAATTTGATAGCACGAGACCAAAAATTGGAGGTTTGGTCGTAATTATGATTGTACTTTCGATATTTCTCAATATGACGAATAGCTGGATAAAAAGCAAACCACTACTTGGATTGGCAAGTGTAATCAACGCTGGCTTAGCTGTATCGTCATCTTTTGGATTAATGGCTGCATTAGGTGTTGAATTCACTTACTGGAATGCTACGATTCCATTCTTAGTTCTTGGTAAGTAAATCAAGGTCCCTGCAATGTACCTAAGCGATAACGCTGATATATTAAAAAGTTTGTATGTATTTCAGTTACCGAGATAGATGATGCTTTCGTATTAATAGCATGTTGGAGAATCACTGATCCCAAACATTCAATTCAAAAACGCATGGAAGTAACATATGGAGAAGCAGGAGTTTCTATTACTTTAACTTCACTCACTAATTCCATTTCGTATTACATCGGGATGATGGCTCCTTTCTCTTTCATTCGAATATTCAGTTATTATACTGCAACTTGTGTCGTTTTGAATTTTGTTTATCAAATAACGTTTTTCGGAGGATGCTTGGCTATAAGTGGATATAGAGAACAACGAAATCTTCGATCCAAAAAATTTGTCAGATGTGGTAAGTTGAAATTCATTTATAAAGAAAGATAACATTTTATTAAATTAATTACTATAATTTTTGATATTTTATATAAAGTTTGAAAGGAACTTTTAGATTACAGGAGTAATACCTGTTACCTGAGTTTTTTGTTACATAAGTTTATTTTAGTTAGTTCATATTCTTGCATCTAAAGTACATATAGAATGTTACTGTTTTAATGAGCTTTCGCATTATACTACAAATAATTAATTTATTAATACAAAATTTATATTTAATCGTACATTGATTCTGCTTAATATAAATGTTTGTAGTGGAAAAATGTCTATTCTAACAAGTAACATATACGATAAGAAAACCGAATAACCGAATAAAATCAGTATTTTTTAGTTGACAGTGTTTGTCACTTGAAAGTTTTTGTCAGTTATAATTGAGAAACGCTAGAAAGAGCGAGCAGAATCACACACTCGTAAAAATCCCACGAAAAACCGAAAAAGTTGGATAGAATTCAATGATGCAGAACATGTACAGTACAAACAGATATATTTTTGCTGTCGGTTTTTGTTTCATTTTTTATTTTTTTTATTACATTGATATTGCTTTCTACATTGAGTTTGAGAAGTTTTTTCTCGATGTAGATACCTAGATTAGTTTCGAAACTTCGTTTTGTACATTATAATACATTGCATTAATGGAAATGTACAAAAGCGCAATCATTTGTACGTTATCGTTAGAAATGTTGGTCCAATAGAAATTCTGACATATCCGAAACATTATAAAAATTTTAATAATAGGGAGATTAAATAAATATGTGCAGGCGAAAAAATGAATATCTATACAATGTTAGTATCCAGTTTGTCACATATTCAATGATATTTCTTTTCATGATATTTGAAAGGATTAAAAATATATTCAAACAGCGTGTACAAATAAAAACAGAGTATTTACAATGAATATGTCTGACAGATCGTGATAGTAAGAAAGTTTCAGTATTGGAAAACAATAATCTATCAAAATTATGACACTTTCGGTATTTTCCTTTGGAATGGTTGACAGTTTTCTTTTTTGAAGTGAAAACCATTTTTCGATTTTCAAAGCTTTGAAAAATATAAATAAAGATTTTAATTACTTACAAACTTTTCGCAGTGAAAAATTTTTTTTTGTTATTTTTATATTAAAATGATTACGGTGTATTCGAAGTTTTTCTCTGTTTTCATGTTAAAAAGTTTTAATTAAAGCTTTACCTACGGGTATGAAACATGTTTCTCTTCAATGCCAACAGAGACGTTTACGTGAATTTAATGACAAATTCTTTTATGACACTTTTGCAATAATTTCATTCTTTTCGATAGATAATTATACAAATAAAAATTCATAATACGAACTTAAAAAGTTAGACTAAAGCCTAACAAATTTGAGAGATTACACTAAGTAATATTGTACTGTATTGAAAATTGGTATTGTTTTTTTTTGCCGCTTTTAAATGTTCCTAGTTTCACTTAGCTCTGATACTACAACGCTTACGAATGTAAACTGTTTCCATTATCGCTGCAAGAACAAAATATACCTTACACCTGAAGTGGCAAACATTTCTCATGAATGTCCAAGGATGCACATCCAAAAATTTCATTTAACATGAAAAATATCATGTGATTCGTAGTACCACTTGTTTTTGAAAACTTTTGTCGGATTTTCATCTAACTGGCTTTTGTAATCAGCTTCATTTTATGTATCAATTATATCGTTTTCACTTCATTTTTTTGGTTATTGTTATTGAAAGTCTGAAACCTCGGTACATATAATTATTTCAAAATATAAGTATGCTTATTCTACGTCACACCTACACAAAACTTTTCGCTATTTTGTTATACACAAACATAACGACAATATAATAATAATAAACCAAAACAATAAGAAAAGTGCTTCACTGCACACTCACGCTCACTACTCGTTTATTACAAAACTAAAATAATAACACAATAACTCTAGTTCCGTTTAATTTCAATTTATTGCTAAATAGAAAATATTTTTCGATTTAAATAAGAAACAAATACCAATTTTCTGCTACATTTCACACAAGATCGGCACAAGTCATCACCTTCAATTAATTCTACGTAGAAGTATCAGTTTGAACCGTAATCACTTAGTTTACTACCTATTGAAAATTTAGAAAAAGTTTGATAAATTTTATATAATATTTTTGAGTTTTCAGTATGTTTTGCTTCATATATAAATTTCAAACGTTTTTATTTTAGAACAAAATGATGAAGATAACGAGAATAATAACGCCAAAGAAGAAGAATTTACTATGGCACATTTTAGAGATTCATTAGGAAAGATAATTTCCAACCCAATAGTAAAGATAAGTGTTATTATAATTTACATCATTAACTTATCATTTGGAATATGGGGCACATTTCACATGGGACATGGCATTAAGTATGAACGTTTATTTGCAAAAAACTCTATAATTACAGAAGGGCAAAGTATTGGTCTAAAGTACTTTAGACGTTATTCATATACATTTCAGATAATTATTAATGAAACGTTGGATTACTCAGATATAAATGTACAAAAATCGATAGAAACCTTGCTGGAAAAATTCGAGAAACATCCAAATATCGCTGGGGAAGAATTCACTGTGTCTTGGTTGAAATTCTACAAAGAATTTCAGAGAAGTCCCGTAGCAAAATTTTCATTACAAGGCTACAATATGTCAAACAAGCAGGACTTTATCGATGGACTTCGCGATGTGTTCTTTAATATCCGAGCTGCTCAATCACTATCTAATGACATCGTCTTTAATAACAACAAAACTGACATTTTATTTAGTAGGTTTTTTATTATGGGAAAACATTAAGAGATTTATTGAAAATTGCTGAAAATTCCGAAATTCCTGTACTTGTGCATTGTATTTTGTCTGGTTTTATCGAGCAAGGCATTATCATAGGAGAAATGATTCAACAATTATTTTGGATAACTGCCATATTGATAGCAGCAGTTTTTTTACTGTTTGTACCGAATTTACTAGTTGCAATTACTGTAGCAATATCTGTCGTATCGGCAATGGTAGAAACATTAGGTTATATGTCGTTTTGGGGAGTCAACTTGGATATTATATCAATGATGAGCCTTATTCTGTGTGTGGGATTCAGCTTGAACTATCCTGCTCATATTTCGTACGCATATGTCATGTCGCAATGCGAAACACCAAACGAAAAACTAAAAGATTCTCTGTATCGTATTGGTTTTCCAATACTTCAAGGATCATTGACCACAGGAATAGGAATAGGAATTGATTTTATATTCTGATGTATATTTTCTTTGCACATTTGCGAAAATAGTAGTACTTGTTGCTATGGAAACGGCTTTTCATGCTTTGCTTTTTATTCCTGTCATTCTTTCTATCATTTATGCTATTTTCAATAATTGATTTATTGGTTGTCAAGTGGAAAATCTTTATCTTATACTAATTTTTAAAAACTGTAGGTAAATTGGTGAAGGTTGTGTGTAATTGCGGTAGTAGTAGTAATAGATTCTCTTATGCTAAGTAGTATACTAGGCAGCAATTGTCTTCAATTACTTTCAATCTTGAGATATGGCTATAGCTTTCTTCCATGCGAAGTATACCCGAGGCTTTCTCATTGTCGAATCAATTTCACTGGTGCCTTAGCAATCCTATTATTCTGTATATAAAAAAATGTGGTCGGCAAGTTGTACTCGTTTCAAGCGATAATGCTGTGAAGTTTACACATCTCACTTCTTTAGAGGATTTATTTACTGGAGATATGATCTAAATATCGCTCCTTTAGAATTCGTCGTAAACATCAATGTGGAAGATATCTAGCCTTTTTAATTGTTTTCTGAAGCCTTCAAGGACTCACTAGCATAAATAGCTATAGAAATCACGATAGAAGTAAACAAACGAAATTTCGTTTACAAAGAGATGGAACAGATCAGACCAGAAGACGGTCGCTGCCCTTCTAACGAGGCACTTTACAACTACTTTCGTTTCACCATTATGGAAAAAAATGCTACTTACGTAAGTGAAACTCTCGACCTTTTCCAATTGTTGTATGCTTGGCCAGCAATTTGCGTTTCAGAAGAGATATGTACGGGCAAAACTTTTGAGTACGCGGCGGTTATTGTAAGGACAATTTTGTCTGCTTCCTGACTCAATGTGGCTATGGCATGATGTAGTATTATCTCATTATTTTCCCAATAGGGCAACATCGACAACTAAAATCAAATATCTAATACGATCTTGGTTAGACCAGTAGATGTCGGCCCCTATACGCGCAATGTGCCTATCTGCCTGTCGGAGAATCGGGGGCGACAAGATAGAGGAAAGGAGACAGAACAGAACCCTGCACGACTTTAATCGTAATTTTTAAGAAGTCGTTACTGCCGTTGTCAGACTTGACGCAACTGCGTAAGTGCAGATGTAAGGTCTTGAAAATAGTGAAAAAGTTTGCCGGCACACCATACAGCCGCAAATTTTATCAGAGAAACTCACGGTGATCACTGTCAAAATCCTTTTTGAAATCAATGAATTTGAACGCCAATGAGAATCGATACTCTGAGCATTGTTTGATGATATTTCGAAAGAAGAAGTTTTGCTTGCTGCACGATCTTTCCGATGTAAAACCCAGCTTGCTTCTTTCGCAATCGCTGATCGAAGGCAGTGCTTAGGCATCGAAGGAAGACCACACAACATGCCTATACAGGCACAGAAAGGAGTGTGTGACCTTGTCAGTTGGTACACTCGGAGACATCTCCTCTCTTAAGATATTTGATTATAGTGCCCTTTCTCCAATCCTCTGAATCTTTCCCACAATTTAAGCATCTGTTAAACAGTAGCGTTAACTAGTTCAACATGGGCTGTTCTCAATGCTTCAAAATGTTAGCCGTTATTTGGTCCAAACCGGCTGACAACCTCTTTCGCAGAGCCGGATTTTGGGCGATTAAAGCGATATGCGCCAATCGAGCCCCGCGGTTAAAGGGGCCCCGCAGCATATCAAAATTGATATAATTAAAAATATTTATAAATTACAGAATAGATTAAACAGTTTAGCGATCATGTCGATTGAGACTCAAGAAGCAAGCCACTTGGATTTTGATACTATTTCAGAGAATATTACAGAACAAGAACTTCGAAACGTGTAAAACATCTTTTTATAGGTTTATATTTAATAAAATTCAGTTATTTTCATTCATCAGCATAGTAAACATTTTTTCATGGCAAAAGTTTTTGTAGATATATGCGTTTAAAAATATAGAAATACTAAAACATATCTATATACGTATATATTCAATAAAATTCGTTGTTTTTATATTTGGCTAAGGTTTTTTAATGTAGAAATTTATCTACTTTATTAGTAATGACTTTTGAATTTTATAATTGGATTTTGGATTTTGTTTTAAATAAATATTTAAAATCTATATTTCAATAAGTAAATCAATTATTAGTTAATTTCGTTATTTAAAGTTTGAGTGTCCCGCGGAAAAAAAAATTCAATCACACCTCCCATCTATGACATCTGGACCTGCAGTTTATGCTCTCAATTGCAAACTTCACTTCTTCATAGGGAATATCACTAGTGTCCACCCTGCAGCTCATGCCATGTATTTTTAACATCAGATCGTTTGACGGTCAATTTTGTTTGATTATATGTTTCCTGGAAATATTCCATCCACCTTCTGTTCTGCTCATCTCGAGCGATTAGAAATTTCCCGTTCTTATTTTTTATTACAACGTAGTCATCATTCCAGTCATATCATTGACTATGCGGTATACGGCCTTGGATTCATTTCGATCGAAAGCCTCTTGCGATTCACCGCCATTTCGTTCTAACCGTTGCTTCTTGCTTTTCCGAAAACTTTTCTTTATAACGTCTATCTAACTCGACATATCTTTGCCTTTTTTCTTCATCTCAACCATTGTTTTAACCTGGTCACTTTTAAATTTTGCGGCTTTTTTCTCATCAATTAGTTTCCAAGAGCGATCTTGGATCCACTGATTCTTTCCTATCCCTCGACGTTTTTTCAATGATATTTTGCCCACATTACGTGACAATGTATCTGAAATTTCTTTTTATTGGATAGATGATCTATCATCTCTCCAAATAAAAAAAATCTCAACTAGGGAAAAGAGATTTTGTAACTCCAGAGTAAATTCTTCAACAACGATTGGATCATTTAATTTTTCTATCGCGAATGGTTTTTTTACTATGACCAGGTTTTGATTACTTAGTTTGAGCTCAATACTTGAGCTTAATTAACTAGGTAATGGTAAAATCTGATATCTAAACTTTTGTAAACCTCACATTTCGCATTGATGATTTACTCGTTTTACTAATACAGACAAAGTGTATCTGATTCAACGTGCATCTCTCTGGAGAACGCTAGGTTTTTTATGGGTCAGTCGTTGTTGGAATTATATGTTCCCAACACACCGTTCTGTTCACAAAAAAAAAAAAAAATTGCTGTTTTCGTAGCACTCATAATTTTTATAGGGACGCGCAACCCTTAATTATACAGTGTATCAGGTAAATATTTTATAATATTCAAACACCGTTTTCAATTTTTCTGTTAATTGTTTGTATAGACGATTATTGTGAATATCTCAAATTATTGATTTAAAATATAAATTTACAGCTTAATCTATTACAGAAAAATTTTTTTGAAGTCTATTTTTCAAAGAATTTATCACTGCATAGAAGTTCCGTATTAATTTAATGGGTTTTTTGTAATGGGTTATGTTATAATTATTATTTTGTATGAGAATATGTTTATATATGTAACCTATAAGTATATGAAATTAAATTTTTATGTCATAAAGTGTAGTTCTATTATGTTTCTGTTATTCACAACTGCTTCATTGAATGCTGTCATAGGTAAGCAAACATTTTTCATGATTGGACAGAGTGAACTACATTTAAGTGGTTAATTTAACTGAATTATAAAATGAATAAAAAATTTATCAGGTCAATTTACCTGAAACCAAGTTACTGTTTTAACAACTTGGTGAAAAACTATTTAGATATAGAGAAGTTCGCCTCATTGTGCTGCAATTTGACAAAAATTGTAGACCTGTAAATTCCCACTGTCTGTTGTTCTTTAATCTGGTGAAAGCGATTAGATACATGAATGATTTGACAGGCTATGGGCATGAAGCCTCCAATAACTATACAGAAGTTCACGTTATGCCAATTCAGATTTCCTTGTTAAAGGTGTTGGATAGATGATCGAAGCGACTATTTTGTTAAAGGATAAGTAAAATGTACAGGCGCAAGCCATTTTGAGGTGGCAAGCATACATTTTAAATTTAGTAAATTTATGATATGATTAAAAATTACACTTCGGCATTGTGACGATGCCATAATAAATAATTGCCTGTTTGAAATGACTTTATATTTAATTCTTTAGCTATCTTGAGAACACATTAAGAAATGTGTTTTAAATCTTATTATTTAATTTTGTTTATAGAAGGTTATTAACTTACAAATATAAACAAAACACCAAACTCTTGCTGAGCTTATTATTACTTTAATTTCAAACGTTTTCAGCCCAATTTCAATAGGCCATCTTCAAGAACTATTCGAATACAACTTTCGAATAACTTTTAAATTTAAACTTTTAACATAAACTGTAACTATTAACTATTTAACATAATCTTAAATATCACAGTAAACCATATGAGACGAGAAATAATAATTTAAAAAATGAAGAAGGTTTTAGAGCTGTGTTTACGATTGATCTATTACCGAAAACAATTAGAAAATTTGAAAACGGTATAATTAATTTAGATATTTCAACTGGAGATGGTACACACTGGGTTTGTTATTATAATGATCCCAAATATCACTTCATTGAATTCTTCGATCCTTTTGGAGTATATAAGTTAAAAAATGTAAGATTGAAAAAAGAGATAATTCCAAAAGAAATCATAAAATATTTAAAAACATCTAGAAAAGAAATAAGATATAACTCTAGTTTTATTCAGAATCCTACATCTGTTAGATGTGGTTACTATTGCATGAAATACATAGTAGAAAAAAATAAAGGAAAATCTCCCATTGAAGTTTTATACTCATTTACACAAGAACCGAGCGAGTTTAATGAGAATTCTGTTTTATATAAATGAAACTAATAGAATTAGATTCGAAAAATGCTGATAAATCAGAAGCCTTTACAATTGAGATTAAAACTCCAATACCTGTAAATACAGTAGATCCCCCTATAAGACGGTAGATACGTTCCGTTCTTTATGAATCAATTTTGTAGGAATCATAGTTTACGGACTACGGCTG